CTGCCAGCCCGGTGGCAAAGAAATGACCTTGGCTGAAGAGAGAGAATTAGAAGTGGTAAAGAGTGGACTGACATATGCTGGTGCTGATGACCACAGCGATAATCCCCATTGGCATGCAAGCTATCCATGGCTTGAGGACCCCTCCACATTACCAAACAACAAAAAAGCAGTGGAGGCAACTTTTCTCAGAACGGAGAAACAACTAGCCAAGGAACCACTGTGGAAAAAGGCTTACAGTGCTCAAGTTCATGAAATGGTTGACCGACAGGCTGCAAAAAACTGACTGAAGAGGTTTTAAACACCTGGAAAGGACCTGTCTGGTATATAAGCCATCTCATCGCTCCCAATCCACATTCTGTTACAACCCCTGTGAGACTCGTATGGAACAGCAGTCAAAAGTATAAAGGCCAAAGTCTAAATGATCTGTTGTTGAAAGGTCCTGATGTCCTCAATTCCATCCGAGCAGTCCTCCTCAAGTTCCGCCAGGGGTCTTATGCTGCTCTGGGAGACATCAGAAAAATGTACAATTCTGTCTGGCTTGAGGAGCGGGAAGTCCATCTGCATCGCTTCTTGTGGCGTGATTCAGAGGATGAAGAGTTGGAGGAGTATGCAATTACACGGGTAAACATTGGGGACAAACCAGCAGGTTGTATAGCACAACTCGCCATGAGAGAGACAGCTAACCTTCCTCAATTCAGCAGCATGAAAGATGAACATCAAGTATTGCATGAACACAGCTACGTTGATGACATATTAACATCCCACAACTGCCGCAAAAGACTTAAGGTCATCACAAAGAATGTAGAGTTGATTCTAAAAGCAGGAGGATTTGAGCTAAAACCATGGGTCTTCTCTGGCAAAAATAAGGAAGAGAAACTGGGGACATCACCACAGATGATTGTCCTGCCAAATCAACTGAAGGAGGAGAACAATAAGGCACTTGGCCTTGGTTACATCGCAAATGAAGACAAGTTGCACGTCATGGTGAGAATCAATTTCTCCAAGCGAAAGAAAAAAATGAGACTTGGCCAAGATTTGCTGCTAGAGGAAGTACGGATAAAGACACCACACCCATTGACACGGCGTGAACTGTTGAGTCAAGTAGCTGGGTTATATGACCCAATCGGCCTGACAACACCAGCAAAGCAAAAAGGGGCCATTTTGGTCCGAAGAGCATTCCAAGAGGCAAAACCAAATTGTAACATTGTCAGAGAGACATGGGACCTTCCCTTATCTGATGATCTCCAGAGAGATGCGGTTGATCTATTTGAGGAGTATGTACAGCTAAGTAAAATTGCATTTCCAAGAGCCCTTACTCCTCCAGATGTCACTACTCAACCCATTGCAATTACCTTTTCAGATGGCAGTGAAAACTCATATGGTGCTGTTCTCTACTTACGGTGGAACTGCTGCAAACAGATAACAGTTCGACTAGTGGAGTCAAAGCAAAGTTGACACCTCTAGACCAGAAAGGGGATGCAGTCAAAGCAGAGCTTTGTGGTGCGGTGTTTGCAAGTCGTCTTAAAAAATATTTTGAGCAACATGCCCATATGAAGATCAGCCAGTGGTACCATTTATTGGACAGTCAAACAATTCTTGGAGCCATTCAACGTGAGAGCTATGGATTTCGAACCTTCTTCGCTAATAGAATTGGAGAAATTCAAAGCAGTACACAGTTACAAGACTGGTGGTGGATCCCTGGACAACTCAACATAGCCGACATTATCACTCGAGGAGCTGGACCAAGAGAACTCGATGTTAATTCAGAGTGGCAAGAAGGACCAAAATTCCTACACTCCCTGAGTGTGAGTGGCCCATTATGTCTGCAAAAGAGGTCTCTACTGCAGCTCGAGAAGCATTAATAATTGCAAAAGAAGACATTTGCAGCAGTCACCAGAGCCCAAGCAAAGAGAGATCAAAGTTCTGGGCAAAGTTCTAAGCGGAGACCTCCTGCTGTACAAAACTTGGTGGATGAAAGGTGGTTCAGTAGCCTAATGTCTCTGGTCAAGACTGTTTCTTTCATGTGGAGAGCTGCCAGAAAATTTATGTCTGGAAACAAGTCCATAAAGACACCAAAGTGGGAGGCTGTGCCAACAAGTGGGGTCATTACTGCTTCCGAGCGACAGGATGCCTTCAGACATCTGTCTTGCTGCTCAAGAGGGGTAACCTTTCCAGCTACCACTACAGACCGCCTGGTGGTGTACCGAGAGGCAGAAACTGGATTATTAGTCTGTGGTGGAGAATCCATTGTTTCGGAGACGACGGCATGGCAGTCCCCCCCTTCTACCATCTGATGCATGGGTCTCTAATTTGTTGGCTCGAGAGGCACACAATGAGGGTCATGAAGGAGTGGCTGCAACCCTGCTGAAAATGAGAAGAAAAGGCTGGGTCATTCAAGGGAGGAGAATTGCCAAAAAGTAGTGGAAAACTGTCTTATCTGCAAAAAGTATAAAGCAAGAAGATGCCAACAAATAATGGGGGATTTACCTCCTGAAAGAACCAAACCTGCAGCCCCGTTTGAGTACACAGCAGTTGACCTCTTTGGACCATACCTTGTCAAGGATGTTGTCAAGAAAAGAGTCTCCATGAAAGTGTGGGGTGTTGTTTTCAGCTGCATGGCCAGCAGGGCTGTCCATGTAGACCTGGTAGACACGATGTCAACAGAGAGCTTTTTGATGACTTACCAACGATTCACTGCAATTAGAGGACATCCAAAGAAGATCTGGTCTGATCCAGGGACAAATTTCATTGGTGCCAAGTCTGTATTAAAAGAGTTGTATCAGTTCCTGGATTCCCAAGACAAAGATGCAATAGAGGAGATGTCTGCTCAAAAAGGCACCCAATGGGAGTGGATAATTAATCCAGCTGACTCGCCTCATCGCAATGGAGCTGCTGAAGCTGCCGTCCGCATCATTAAGAAGGCACTCCAGAGTTTGGGCACCAACATTGGCCTCAATTACAATGAGCTTCAGACTACATTCCAACTTGCTGCTAATCTCGCCAACGAACGTCCTATTGATGCCCAGGTACAGAGCCGTGAAGATTGCATCTTGTATGTATCACCCAACTCACTCCTCTTAGGACGGGCCTCTCCAAACGGTGACATCAGAACATTTGACTTTGCAAGCTATCCTTATAAAAGACTCAGGGAGATGCAGCATCATGTCAATAGATTCTGGAGATCATGGAGCCAGCTTTCTGGTCCAAACTTATTTGTGAGAAGCAAATGGCACACATCACATCGAAATGTCACAGCTGGCGATATTGTTTGGCTATGTGACCAAAATGCAGTGCGGGGCCAATTCAAGTTAGGACGGGTTGTGAGCGTCAACTCGGATGCAAAGGGCATTGTACGGGATGTGAATGTCAAAGTCGTCCAAAGCTCCTGCGTTCCTGTGACAAGACTCATACCAAGCCAGCCTTTGTCTGGAGTCCTGAAAGAACCTGCACAAACTACAGTCCTGCATAGAGATGTTCGGCGCCTGGTGGTTCTATTGCCAGTGGAGGAACAAATATATAACTGAAAAGCAGTTCACAGGAATTTATTCTGCGATCTCTCCATCGATTCCTTGGAAAGATCGAGTGGGAGGTGTTCTGGTGAACTGCCAAGAAGCCACTCCCCTCTTGTTGCTTCTTTGTGCTCTGCCTGCTACAGATGAGAACCAGGTGGAGTCAATCTCCTGGCAATTGGAAAAGTATTTTAGGTGTGGCTGACCTCTCACTCTTGTTTGAGAGAGTGGCATAGCATGTGTGACAAACAGTGCTGATCACATGCAAGGAACAATCTGTGCAAATCTTTAAAAAACTGTGAAGGACAGCCGGTAAGCTCCTAATACTGTTTTACATGGACTTTAACTTTTGATTGTTTTCATGAGAAAAAAAAGGAAATGTATAGATATTTATATGCACTTGGTGTTTATTAGTTAAAGCAGAACATATTGATAGAAAATGTTAATTTATTATACTGTAGAATTAAATGATTTAAATCAGTGGAAATTTATTTTGAGTTTTCACAGTGTATTTGTCCTGTTCAGTTCACAATGTAATTTAGATGTTTCTGTTTCTTTTGAGGGTTTTCACCTGTATGATTGGAGCATCATATAAAAATAAATATAACTAAAATGAAGACTCCTTGAGTGAACCCCAGTTATATTTCACAAAAAAGATCATCCTTTTCAAGTTGGGAATGCACAGTGAAATCAAACCAGGAGAAACTTGACAGTGACTCTTTTGGCATTATTACTCGAACGGCGCATGCGCGAAGGGAACATTCAGTGCTTTCAGCACCGCCCTCTGGCGGTCAGTAGGGATGAAATAGAACAGTGAATTTCAAGAAGGTTCTGATTTTGTATTGCATATATGTAATAAAATATATAATATAAAATATACTGTATTACGTATACAATATATACACCATGTGAAAGGTTCCTATAGTTTAAAAGGGCAGCTGTTTCCAAAGTGACACAAATAAAATTAACAGAAATAATAACTAACAGAAAGAGTTATTTAGTTTGTCACACAAAATGAGATTAAAAATGTTACTCATTAATTTATACATGCCATGGTTGTAAACTAGATATTTAATTATCAAAATAAATATTTAGTTTTCACTAAATGTTTTCTATCAAACTGACTAAAGACATTTTTCCTTATTCCTCCTCTATCAGACTTTCTCTGCTTGCAGCAGGTTCCTCCATACCTGAGAGCTTCTAGTTCTGCAGGTCATAAAAATAAATATCAGTCACATTTTCAATGGATTAGGAAATCTAACAAATGCTGGGAGAAAGGATCTGCGATAATGCTCCTTATCTGCACCAGTATGCAGCAATCTGTCAAGTATCCAGAGCTTCACTATCAATGTCAGCCTGAACCATGTCAACCCAGCCATGTTTGTGTGTTGAGACTTAGCATGGTTACCCATCTCACAGTAAGACATTATTATTTTACTTTACAACTGAAAAAACATTTGCATCATAACTGATGGATGGAGAACATTTTACCTGAGAGTTTCCAGGTTGCAGTTTGGACTCTTCAGTCCAGCAGAGAGAAGCTTCACTCCTGAATCCTGCAGGTTGTTGTTACTCAGGTCCAGTTCTCTGAGACTGGAGGACTGGGAGCTGAGAACTGAGGACAGAGCTTCACAGCTTCTCTCTGAGAGGTTACAGCCACTCAGTCTGAGGAGACAGGGAGGAAAATATGTTACTAAATAATTCCTGAAAATCTATGTTCTTTCAGATCAACAATGTTTTTATTGGACAAAGAAGGAAATGTTTTTTTTTACACAACCTTTGCATTTGTTGTGAACTAGTTCATTCTATAGTTTTTCTACCTCCAGCCATAAAGGACTGAACTACAGGTAACAAAGAGGTTGGAAAGAGCATCATGAAATTCCAAAATTAACTATATTAATACAATTTCAATTTTAACAGTGGAGACGTTTTGCTGCTTTAATATCTAACACTATGTTGAGCTGCTATAGGAAGTCTGTTTCTTCTTTGCTCAACCCCCAATGGTACACTTTGAAGAAACGATGCACCAAAACATAAATTAAAACAAATATTTACCTCATAATTAATAACAAATGCATTAACAATGTGTGTCCTTACAGAGCTTTGTTGGAGGCTTTAACCACTGGCAGCAGCCTCAGAAGAACCTCCTCTGAAGCAGAGTATTTCTTCAGGTCAAACACATCCAGATCTTTTCCTGATGTCAGTAAGATGAAGATCAGAGCTGACCACTGAGCAGGAGACAGTTTATCTGTGGAGAGACTTCCTAAACTCAGAGACCATTTGATCTCGTTAACTAGAGAACGATCATTCAGTTCATTCAGACAGTGGAACAGATTGATGCTTTTCTCTGCAGACACATTCTCATTAATCTTCTCCTTGATGTATTGAACTGTTTCCTGATTGGTCTGTGATCTACTTCCTGTCTTTGTCAGCAGACCTTGTAGGAGTCTCTGATTGGTCTGCAGTGAAAGTCCCAGGAGGAAACGAAGGAACAAGTCCAGGTGTCCATTTGGACTCTGTAAGGCCTGGTCAACAGCACTCTGATGGAGAGACTTTGGTTTAGAGTCTCTGAATAATGAAAGGTTTACAGATGTTTGTGTTTCTTCCATCAGGTTGACTCCAGAGTTGATGAAGGTCAGATGAACATGAAGAGCAGCCAGAAACTCCTGAACACTCAGATGGAAGAAGCAGAACACCTTCTCCTGGTACAGACCTCTCTCCTCTTTAAAGATCTGTGTGAACACTCCTGAGTACATTGAGGCTGCTCTGATATCGATGCCACACTCTGTCAGGTCTGATTCATAGAAGATCAGGTTTCCTTTCTGCAGCTGATCAAAAGCCAGTTTTCCCAGAGACTCAATCATCTTCCTGCTCTCTGGACTCCAGTGTGGATCTGTTTCAGCTCCTCCATCATACTTGACCTTCTTCACTTTGGTCTGAACCACCAGGAAGTGGATGTACATCTCAGTCAGGGTTCTGGGCAGCTCTCCTCCCTCTCTGGTCTCCAACACATCCTCCAGAACTGTAGCAGTGATCCAGCAGAAGACCGGGATGTGGCACATGATGTGGAGGCTTCGTGATGTCTTCATGTGGGAGATGATCCTGCTGGCCTGCTCCTCATCTCTGAATCTCTTCCTGAAGTACTCCTCCTTCTGAGGGTCATTGAACCCTCTGACCTCTGTCACCATGCCAACACTCTGAGGAGGGATCTGATTGGCTGCTGCAGGTCGTGTGGTTATCCAGAGGAGAGCAGAGGGAAGCAGTTTCCCCCTGATGAGGTTTGTCAGCAGAACATCCACTGAGGTGGACTCTGTAGCATCAGTCAGGATCTCCTTGTTGTGGAAGTCCAGTGGAAGTCGACTCTCATCCAAGCCATCAAAGATGAACAGAACCTGGAAGTGTTCAAAGCTGCAGATTTCTTTGGTTTCACTAAAGAAATGGTGAACAAGTTCCACCAAGCTGAACTTTTTCTCTTTCAGCACATTCAGCTCTCTGAAGGTGAATGGAAATATGAACTGGATGTTCTGGTGGGCTTTGTCTTCAGCCCAGTCCAGAGTGAACTTCTGTGTTAGGACTGTTTTCCCAATGCCAGCCACTCCCTTTGTCATCACTGTTCTGATTGGTTGATCTCTTCCAGGTGGGACTTTAAAGATGTCTTCTTGTCTGATTGTTGTTTCTGGTCTGTGTAGTTTCCTGGATGCTGTTTCAATCTGTCTGACCTCATGTTCATCATTGACCTCTCCAGTCCCTCCCTCTGTGATGTAGAGCTCTGTGTAGATCTGATTCAGAAGGGTTGGACTTCCTGCTTTAGCAATTCCCTCAAACACAGACTGGAACTTCTTCTTCAGACCAGATTTAAGTTCATGTTGACAAACTGCAGCATGATGTTCTGAATTAACTATTTACAAAAATATGAAAGAAAATTATCTTTTGAATTTGATTACATCACTTCAGCAAACGTGGGATTTATATACAATTTAAAATCTCTGACAAAATCCTCTTACTGTTCTGCAGACGATCAGCCAGCTTTTCCTGCTTCATTCTCCTCAGGAAGTTCAGTGTGATCTTCATCACTGCCTCTCTGCTGCTCCTCCTCTGCTCTTCATCATCACCTTCCAACACCTCATCATCTCTCTGACTCTCTGAATGTTCTGGGTTATCTGGACTCAGAATTTTCTGGATCTTCTTCAGTTCTTTCTTCACAAATGTAACAATGTTGTCTTCCAGCAACTGGAACAGAATAATAGATGAAGGAAACATCAGAGTGAAATCATGGCACCAAACACCGGATGGATGTTGGACAGACTGACAGTCCTGTGGTCTACAAAGTGCAGCATGAAGGTGACTTTGAACAGAATTCATGGAAAAGTTGTTCTTTTACATGTACAGACCATAAATATGGAGTCTAGCTGAGTTTGATGCTGCTGGGCAAACAGACCTCTGGGAACCTCTGAGCTCTGCTGGTCCACTCTGTGGAGGAACCAAGAACAATTAGAAAATCAGTATTCACATATGAGTTTGACATTTAAATTTCTTAAAGCATACAAACAAAGCATCACGTAAAAAATAATACAAATAAGTTAGGAGCAAAATTAACTTCAAGAATGGAGACCAGTAACACCAGAATCACCCAGAAGACATTTTAAAAAGTTGTTGCTGAAGTTGGACTTCTAACACCCAGACATTTTAAAATTTGGACTCCTGGTGGAGACAGTTTCCCAGAGTTGGGGACAGTGGAAGTGAAGGCTTTGTCCACACAGGTCTCCAGGACAGTGTGGGACATCCATCAGGTTCCTATGAATCAATCTGAGGTGATGAGGACATGGACGAGATTGTGGAAATATCTTCCACAGTCTGACATGGAGGCAGAAAGCAGAAGAAAACCATCATCAACACCCCAGAGTTGAAGATTAAATGGTGTTTTCATTAGAACAGAGCAGCTGATTTTTATAGATAATGGATCAAACCTCTGTAACTATAACTGGGAACATCTGAGTACTTACCGGTTCCATTTCTACAGTTACAACAATTAATATTGTTTGAAGACCTTTTAACACTGATTTAATGGAAATCACATAATAATACATGCGGTTTCTTGCCAAAGATAGATATACTTTACTTTCAAAAGAACACTTAACGCTTGGACTGATACACAAAATAAATAAAACCACCAAAAATAAAATAGATTCTTAGTCTCCATGAACAATAAATGTACTTGAATAAAAACTAAACAACATAAAGCCAAAGTGGAAATAAATACTGCATTCAACCAAAGAGTGCAGATTATGAAGTCTGTATTGTATATTGGCCTTCAGTAATCATTAGATTTAAATAGAGAAGAATCCGACTGCCTGATGCAATATTTCAAACTACACAATTTTTTACCCTGAACGACAATCTTAGAACGTTATTGGTTCTGAGATTATCACTTATGTTGTGTGTTACGGTAGATCGTTGTGACCGCTCCGATCAAAATCCAGGATTTGCCCAGACTAGGAGCGTAACGCAGCCTGTTGAATGTGACCGGTAGCCAATCAGAACGTGCGGATTCTCCTCCTGCATTCTGAGGGAAACACGGAGGGAATCCCGAACAGCTGACACGGTGCAACCCGAAGTCCAGTAGACATCAGAGATGATATGTGGAAACATGAATGTTTATTCAACATTTCATGCAAGAAAAATATAAATAACTAGGGGAGGAGTTGGAGCGAAATTTCTACCAGAAAACCCGGTAACTTTTCTTCGTTAACGTGACATAAATAGGTTATAATGATTTTCATTCGGTCAGGACTGACACTCGCCACATGCATTGGAGGTAGATTGTAGTAAGGAATTTATTAATGCCTGGTTTCAAAATTTGTGAACTGGATTTATTATTTTGTGTCCATTGTTGGACACAATACGGTTTCAATCAAACCGTTATAGCGAGGATTTCTGTCGGCTAATGTGTCTCTCAGGTTATGATAATGGGCCGACAATAGGCGACATAAGATCATGCAGCGCGCGCTGGGCATTACACTAAGGAAATAAGGAAGGGAGGGTCAGTAGAGAGCAGCGGAGTTTCATTCAGTGTCATCAACAGTATGAGAAAAAAGCAGGAAGAAACGATATAGACGATAATTAAAATGAGGTCGATAGTTTTAATTTATTGTGCAATTAATTGATTTATCTTTTATCGCAACAGGCCTACATCAGATTGAATTTTAAATGGTAAATGGATTGAATTTATATAGTGCTTTTCCAGTCATTTTGACCACTAAAAACGCTTTAAATATTACTAATTAAATTAGTAGAGATTAATTATTAATCTCTACATTCACATTCACAAAAGTTCATGCACGATAGGCAATTTGGGGTTAAATGCCTTGCCCAGAGGCACATCAACATATGCCAGGAGAAAGCTGGAATCGAACCTACAACCTTCCGATCGTAGGTTCGGAAGTATGGCAGAGTCATACTTCCAGATCAAATTGCCCAGATCAAATTTTAAGACTTCTGTAAACTAGATGGACGTGTAGAAGCTCTGTGTAGAGACTGGATCTAAACGGACCTGATAAATACTGAAGTTATTTAATTAATTTCTGCAGTAGCAACAATCCATTTGGATTTTACTGTCTCCATGGAATTATATTACCATTTAGACATCAATAACATTGATGTAATGCATATGAACAAAAAATTACCTGAAATTTCTTCTAACTTTCCCATGACAACAGAATCCAACAGAACTTGGTATCATCTGGCCAGAATGACAGATATAACCAGAACAGTTACAGCAGTTAGAAACAGCTCACCTCTCTGATGGTGGTGATCCAGGAGATTTAAAGTTAATGATCTCATGCTTTGACCTGTTGCTCTTAAAGGACACACAGCTGGGTTCTGGTTCTGGTTCTGGTTTGAGTCTCTGATGGATCCTGACAGAAACATGATGATTAAAACTTAATCAGCAAAGAGGAGCAGCAGCAGCTTCATCACCACGTCTGTTCTGGCCTGATATAGTGAACGCTGTGTGAAAAGGGCTGTGGACAGTTAGAGATGGTGACCTCACCTCTGACCTTTGCTCTGGCTCTCATCTTCCTCACACAGAGTGGTTTTAACCATTTCTGGATCATTCTTAACATTTTCCAATGCTATAAAAATGTGTAAAATAAACATAAAATTTCAACATTTCTGTCAATGAACATTTGTGTCATAGCTTGTGACATTTCCTTCAGCTGAGTGGTGTGATGCAGGTGACTGTTGTAAACAAACCGATGGATGTATGGAGGGCCATGGAGAGCAAAGGGGAATAGAATATTCTATAGTAGGAGAGATTCTGCTATTCTTGGACCAAATCATTTGCTCCTTGCCAATGCAGAAGGATTACAAGAATGTTTACTCTGTAGCGAGAAGTTGTCAAAAAACAAAAATAGCACCGTACTTTCCAGACTAGAGTGCACCTTAATATTTGCCACACCGAGCTAAAAGTCACATGGTTCAAAGCTTGGGGAAAAAGTAGCGGTATATAGTCTGAAAAATAGGATAATGTAGAAAGACATTTCCAGGGAAGGTGCTACATTTGCTGCCATGTCAAAATTAAAGTTGCATCTTACAAGCCCAAGGTTGAGATGAGATGCCCATAAACAGAAGTCACATTAAACACGTAAGAAATGTTAATGTTAAATGTTTGTGGTTCAAAGGTCATGTCAGGATAGAAATTGTTTTTTTCCTGATTGAGAAGTGAGTTCATTCTGGTTCATTTTTTGTTATTCATCATTGCTTATGTATGGTGTCAGTAACTGGCCAGTAGGGGGCAGTATCATGATGTAAATGATGGTGAAATGGAACTTATAGAAACAACATATCAAGTATTGAGATTACTGTAAACTAGATGGACATGTAGAAGCTCTGGATACAGACTGTGGATCTAAACGGATCAGATTAATACTCAGAAGTTCTTTCATTCATTTTTGCAGTACCAACGATCCATTTGGATTTCACTGTCTCCATGGTACCATGTTACCATGGATACATCAATGTCATTGATGTAATACATATGAAAGGAAAATAACCTGAAATACTATCTAATGATTTTATTACAACAGAACTTGGTATCATCACATGGCCACAATAACAGATATAAACTGAAGTTACAGCAGGTAGAAACATCTCACCTCTCTGATGGTGGAGATCCAGGAGATTTAAAGTTAATGTTCTCAAACTTTGACCTGTCGCTCTTAAAGGACACACAGCTGGGTTCTGGTTCTTTCTGGTTTGAGTCTTTGATGGATCCTGACAGAAACATGATGATTAAAACTGAATCAGCAAAGAGGAGCAGCAGCAGCTTCATCACCACGTCTGTTCTGGCCTGATATAGTGAACGCTGTGTGAAAAGGGCTGTGGACAGTTAGAGATGGTGACCTCACCTCTGACCTTTGCTCTGGCTCTCATCTTCCCCACACAGAGTGGTTTTAGAGGGAGGGACTCCCTCCTCTCTGTCCTCACACTGATCCATGCTGCTGAATCCACATCAGCTCACACACACTTTCTAGCTTCACCTGCAGAGGAAACACACATCATTCATCTGCACATCAACTCTGATCATCCTTTACATCATTAGTGCTGGAAAAAGATCAGATAATAGTTAGTTATTTACTTATTTCTACAAGTGGATTAAATGTGCCTCTAAAGTTGAACTATTTAGTAATTTGACTGAATTTAACACATTTCACTGTAGCAGCATTTTATTTTGAAAGAAAGCAGGAGAAACTTGTTGTTCATGTCTTTAATGGTGGAGACCAGAGTTTGATTCTAGGAAATAAAAACCATGAATCAATTTGTTCAGAGAAGAAAATAACATCAGATGTTCATCATGTTTGATTCTTGGTCATCAATAATCCTGCTGATTAACCTTCAAACTGCACAGATTAAGGTTGATCTGAAATTAGAGGTGAACATTTTCTCCAAACTTCAGAGAGAAACATAATAACCAGATATTAATATTCTTGAAGACAAAGTTTTAGTAGAAAACAAAGCAACTTACAGTTTCTTCAAATGATCCACAGAGTTGAACAGAATATGTGATCAACAAACTGAGACCCACAGAACCAGACGGTGCCAAACATGAACAGGTGAGTTTAATCAGGAAGTAGAAATGAGACCAAACTGGTTTTACTGAACTGTCAGAGGAAAGTTTATCTGTGACGTCCGAAGATAAAAAATCTACTCATGACTCCCGTTTTGAACACAAACATTCTGCTTCTGTTATTCTACTGATCCAGGTTCTGTTCAGCTCTAATGGAACCAGAACCTGTTTTAACTTGGAACCAACTGGACTCTTCATAGGGGATTTGTCTCCTCTGGTGGAGAAAACTACACCTGCCTGATGTCTGATTATTAAACAGATGGAGATTTTAAACTATCCAAATGTTTTTAAAAAAGTGACCAGAACCAGAACAGTTCTGCTGTTCAGCACATGAATAAAGATCATTTGTTCCTCAGCAGCTCTTAAATAAATCAATACAACAGCAGTAAATATTACACTGAGTCATTATTAATGACCTGAACCAAAAGGTCATCAGTCCACTAGATGGAGACATGGAGCAACATTTACATTCATGATTCATCCTGAACAACAGGAAATATTTTAGTTCATATTTTTGAATTATCAGCTACATCAAAGATTAACTATCCAATAATCTTACTGGATTAAACACATTTTAATAATATTTTACTTTGAAGCGTTTTTGTTTAACTTAATAGTGAAACCAGAGTTTGACTCCAGGAAATAAAAACATAAGACAGTTTGTTCAGAGAAGATCATTCAGCTCTTCATCAATTTGTTTGATTCCACTTTATCATTAATCTAATAATCCCTTAGATTAACATTCAAACAGCAGAAATTAAACTTTGGGTTCTAGTCACTAGTTTTCTGTTCACCGAACATCAAAGAGAAAAATAAGAAACATTAAAGTTCAAGTTGAAACAAAGAAACTTACAGTTGTTCAAATGATCCAAACAGCTGAAGAAGAAAATCTGAACAACAAATTGAGACCCAACAGAACCACAGCAGAACCAGACTGGTATCACTACTGAGTTTAAACTGAAAGTGTTGAGGGGAAATAAACCCAAACTGGTTTAACTGGTCAGACTGACTGGGAGTCAGAGGAAAGTTTACCTTCTGACTTCTGTACAAATGAATCCTCATAACTCAGAGTTTAAACACAAACACTCTGTTGCTGTTATTTTAGTGATCCAGCTCTTATGGAACCAGAACCTGTTTGAACTTGGTACCAACTGGAATCTTCATAGTGGGAAATTATCTTCCTCTGGTGGAGAACTAAAACCTGCAGGATGTCTATTATTAGACCCAGATTGATGAAGCATTGAGTAAAAACTAAGTCCAACATTTTCTGCTTCCACAGCAGGTCAAAGGTCAACAGAGAAACTGCTGGTCAGATTTAAATCTGTATGTTAATTACTTTCATCCCTTAACACTAATACAATTAGTTTATAGTTTTAATGCAATTATGGCATCAAAATACATAAAAAACAAGAATCTATTAAAAATATAAACAAATAATCTGAAAACTGAAACAAAGGAACAACTCAACTGTATCCTTAATATCACAACACGACTGCTGCTGAACCACACAGAAAGGTACCGTCTCCTAGCAACCTCTCAGCCAATAGAATCCAAGTGTTACATTGGATTTTATAACATTGGATTATAGACGTTATAGACGAGTTAGAAGGAACTCATTGTGTGTCTGATGAATCTGTCTAGATAGAGATTCTGTCTATTCTAACAATATAGGAACAATCTAGATAGATGTTAGAAAACCCATAAAACTGATAAAATCAACATCTATTCTTTTGATAGAATCCTGGACTCTTTAAAGTTTAATTAATCTCTGAAATCTAAACCAACTCATTGCAAATATTCTGTTCCAAGATGGATCAAAAATGATTCGGCAGGAAGAGAGTTTGCAAAGATTTGATTCAAGGAGAGAAAAGTTTTGATCATAAGAAAAAAGGTTTGAGAAAAAACTGTGAATATTTGACAGAGAGCAGAGTTTTAAGTTCAAGCATTAATGTTTTTAGAGGAAAGACACGACTTCCTGCTTTTAACTGATAATTATGGCAGAAATATTCCTCCATAGCTGGAACAGATGTCCCTGAGTCATAACATTCAGACTGGATGAACCAGTCGCTTTTGCTTTTATTTCCTTGTTTCTTCTTTCTCCTCAGCTGTCATGTCTGGTGAACAGCCAGTAGGTGGCGCTAGAGTCAGGAGGAGCACCTGGAGAAAGGCTGTTCCTCCCTGATCTGTTTCCAAGCAGTCAGAGTGTAGAAGTTGAGAGCTGGAGAAGTTTCCTCCTGTTGCTGCAGCAGCAGAGATGTTCTGCTTCCTGGACTAAATCAGGTTGGAAAGAGGAGAGATCTTTACTGAGCTGCTGGGATAAAAGCTGCTGAAACATTTCAACTCTTTCTGGAAACTAATGAGACACAAAAACAATGGATGTTTTTACCATCCAGACCTTTGGAACCAGTTCAGCTCAATAATTCAGTTGTATCTGTGGAAGATGAACAGATTTGATGTGAAATGATGAAATTCTTCATTTCTATCTGATGTTCCAGCAGATCTGTAGAAAATGGAGCTGCAGCTCTCAGACATTTCATGTTTTCTATCAATGAATCCACTGATTATCTCCACTCCTCTGGAAGAAGCTTAGCATCTTTTTCATAATCCTGCAGATGCTTCTTTGTTTTTTGCCGACTTGTGTTCTGTCTAAGGCCCCATATTACTTTGGACCGGCCCTGCATGAACAGCCGCTGTGATGCTCATCTCTAGAATCTACCTGGAATCCCCCCCATGTCAGTCCACTGATGCTTTGGGGACTTTTTGATTCATTTAATTGTGGCATGTTTGGCTTTATGCTGCAGTTCTAATTATTGCCCCAGTATTTTCTCTGATGCTCTAAATGCTCTGCGCCGAATCTTCCTTTAACACTTGAGGTTCTGCAGTAACTTTTATTTATAGCCAAACTTGCAGCCCAGATCCGTCAGCAGAAGCTTTCACCTCTATTAAACATTTGATCATTAAGTTTTCTCCAAACTTTATTTTAGTCTTGCTGTGTTTTCCCACCTTTAGACCTGATTCAATTTGGGACCAAAATTCTAACATTTGTTATATTTTCAGTCCTTTAAAACAAGACATCTGGAAAGTTTTCATATTGATTTACTTTTTCCACATTTTGCTATTTTACAGCCTTATGTCAAATAAAGCCCAGGCGTAAATTCAAGCTGGGAGACAAAACACAGCTGATCCCCATCACCCACGACACGCCGCAGCCAACCAGGATCGACGCCTCGCTAAGCCGGTCCCTTTAAGGAGCCTAGTCACCGGGTGTCTGCCTGCTCGTCAGCCGTGCTTCATCCCGCCTCCTCCCCATCTCCACCTTCAGCCTGACGAACATCCTCCAGGCCCACTCTTCGTTCCTCCTCCAAGGCTCCGCTCCATCACCAGGATTCGGACCGGGGGCAAAGACTAGTGAACTTCGCCAGACTCATCATCTACCCTCGGCGATCCTCAGCTTACTAGTCTTCTGCCGGGTTCGAGCGCCAAAGAATTTGTTAATTAAAATCTTCTAACTGCTTCTTTTCTCTGTGTGAGTCGATACAGATTGAAATTGTAATTGTACAATATTCTACACACAAATACCACAATATGAAAAAAGTAAATATTCTAAGACTAAAGTCATAATTCAGTGGAGAAAAAAATTATAAGTCTGAGAAAGAATTTCTGAGATTATTTTAAATCTTGAGAATTCAGAGAAAAAAGGTCAGAAATTAGTAAAGAGTCATAGAAAAAAATTCTGAAATTAAATTCAGAAAAGTTGTGGTATTTAAGTTAGAATTCTAAATTTCAAATTATAAAATTTTCAGCTTTTTAAACTAAAAAAATCTGATTAATCAAACAGAAAAAGAAAAGTTCTATAAATTTTAAAAAGATTTTTCAGAGCTCAGAAATATAATTTTTTCCAGAAATTTTCAAGATTAATCTCAAAATGTTTTGTCTCAACATTTTGGAGTTCAAAAATTTCCACATTTTTCTTAGAACATTTCTCGCTAAATATTGTCTTGCAAATTTTCGAGCTCAGAAATTTTCGATTTTTTTTCTAGAAATTATCTGAGCTTTCTCTGGCTGTTGTTAGACTTTTTAAACCCAGAAATGTCTGTTTCTTTCTAGACAATTCTGAATAATTCTCAAAATTTCTTTCTATTTTTTTTTTTTTTTGCAGAAATGTACTCTTTTTATTCCTTTATATTCATCTTAGGCTGACCAAAGACTTTTGCACAAACCAGTTTAATCTTAAATCTTTTTATTTACAGAACAGTACATGTTTTCAGGAACAACAACATAAAGAGGTTCGAGTCCTGCCTGAAAAGTGGCAGACACCAGCACCGATGAGCCCATTATCGGACAGCCGTCCCCCGGCTCACAGCGCACCCAGCTCCCGCTGCAGCCGCTCCTTC